GGTTGGAAGTGAACTCGGTGGATCACGCAGTCTAACCCCCTGCCAAAGTCGCTGTCCTGTCACTGGGCACCACTGAAAAGAGTCTCGCCCCATGCTCCTGACACCCACCCTTGAAACATTTATAACCATTTATTATGTCCCCTCTCAGCCTTCTCTTCTTCAGGCTGAACAAGCCCAGCTCCCTCAGCATTTCTTCATTCCCAGAGAGGTTGCGCAGACTCTGTCCTTGAAGGTTTCCCAAGACTTGGCTGGACAAAGGCCTGAGCAAGCCGCTCTCATCCCACGGCTGACCCTGCTGGGAGCAAGGGGCTGGATGAGAGACCTCCGGAGGTCTGGGATACCTTCAGCCGTGAATTGATGGTCTGAACCTTTTTGTCTACGTTCTAGGCAAAGGCTAGCACCTGAAACTGGTGTTTGTGAGGTTTTGGTGATGCTTCTTTCAATTATCCAGGAAGAAAATCTCAGTGTATATAGTGCATGCGAGAACCCCAGAAATGAATTCACATTTTGCTGTTGCGTGATGGCACATAACACTGCTCCATCACGTCACGATTCAGTGGTTCAGTTTGCCTTCACGAGTGAGAAAGCCTTGCTGTGGGCATGAGAGCGCTCGCCAGGACTTACCCTTCAGCTACCTCAGGGCACCGATCTGCTGCAGAATGCCGGGGCGATCGCTGCGCATGCTCTGCAGGTCGGCTAGCCCTCCGATGCAGCGTTTCTCGCTGAACACGTAAGGGACCTGGGCACCAAACAGCACCACGCATCAGTCGGTAGAGCTGGGACGCTGAAGGCAAAGAGCGGGCAGAGGATATTTCTGGGAAGCAGACTTCCCACCAAGGAGACCCTGATGTGCAAAGTCCTCTGCGTCTCGCCCCCACTGGGACGCGCTGCCAGCCGCCTGGTGCCCACGGTTACCAGCAAAGTCACTCGGCTGAGCGGACTGACATTTCTGGCACAAAGCCTTCTCCACGCACCCTTGTCCTTCCTGCTGTTCCTCTCCTGCTGCACAGCCCTGACCGCCTGCTCTTTCCTGCCCATGCTGGTCCCTTCTCCTGCAGCCTCACGGCTGCTGCCAGGTGCAAGAGGAGAGGCAATCAGTGCAGAGCCAAATGTAGAAGTAGAAGGGGAAAAAGAAAACTCCCCTCTCCCAAAGACCAGGACCAATTTCTGAACTCCTGAACTTCAGCGCCTGAGACTTCCTCCAGCCATGCGTTTGCTGCTCTCTGCAGAGGGAAGTGAAAACCACTGCCGAGCTGGGAAAAACCACCCCAGCTGAAGCCAGGGAAAAGAAAAAGTCATGAAAACACAGGCAGAACGTCACTCCCTCACTCAGGTCTCATGATTTCATGGAGCTTCTAAAGAAACTGCCGCTTATACGTAGTAAGCGCAGCCTCTGCTCTGCAGCCGGCGACACAGACGCAAGGAGAAGTGGGTTTTCTGCTTAGGTCAGAGGGGAAAGCGAGGGTCCAAAGTCAGACCCACTCGCAGCTCTGTGTTCTTGCTGCACTGCAAACCCGTGCTGCCTCGGGCAGCGTCGCCCGAAGACCAGGGAATCCCAGAGTCATGGAAGACCCTTGAAGGAGCTGCGGCTCACGGCCGTGGAAACGTGGAGGTGCCCCTCTCCACCAGCCCTTGCTCGGCCAGCGCAGCCATGAACCAAGCCTCAGCGCTGAGCTTTCTCCGCGCTTCTGCGTCTTGCAGGAGCAAAGGGGTTTGGAGGAGGCCCGGGATGCCCCGGGAGGTGCCGCAGCTCCCTGGGCTCTGTGCCCAGCCCGTCCCCGAGCTGCGGCTCACGGCCGTGGAAACGTGGAGGTGCCCCTCTCCACCAGCCCTTGCTCGGCCAGCGCAGCCATGAACCAAGCCTCAGCGCTGAGCTTTCTCCGCGCTTCTGCGTCTTGCAGGAGCAAAGGGGTTTGGAGGAGGCCCGGGATGCCCCGGGAGGTGCCGCAGCTCCCTGGGCTCTGTGCCCAGCCCGTCCCCGCGACGGGAAAGGGGTGCTGCTTCTGCCTGTGATGCGGCAGAGAAGCGAGCGGGGAAAGGGACCTCGCAGAGCGTCTCAGCAGCTGGGCACAGAGCATCTGTGGGGCAGCCGGGGCAAAGCGTCAGCAAGGTCTGAAAGAAGACCAGCAGAACTTACGGTGCTTCGCCCTGTTTCCTGCTGCAAGTACTCCTGGACGTCCTCAGACTGGGTGATGTCCACCACTTTCAGGCATTTGTGGGCAAAGCTGTGTTGCTTGAGGATCTCCACGGCGTTCCCGCAGTACGGGCAGCCTGCCTTCTTGAAGAGCGTGACGCGGCCCTTCCGGAGTCTCCTCTGCACAAAACTCTCCGCCATGCTGCTTTGTCGGGAGGAGCGGGAACGCTGCCCTGCACCAGCGAGTTCACGGGCAGACGGGACAGCAGCAATCTCAGTCCCAGAGATTCATGGGCTGCCCAGAGCCTTCCTCCCTGAGAACTCCTCCCCAGGGGGACGTCGTCTCCTCACCACACCGCGCAGCAGAAGGCAGCAGTGCTTGTGCTGTCCATCTGGTTGCACACAACGCCCGAGCTGCTGACGAG